AAAGGTCTGTACAGTCAAAGCTATGGTTTTTGCAGTAGTCATGTATGGATGTGAGAGTCAAACCATAAAGACTGAGAGCCAAAGAATTGTTGCTTTCAAACTATGGTGCTGGAGAAGACCCTTGAGAGTTCCTTAGACAGCAAGGAGATCAAATCAGTCAATCATAAAGGAAATCAACCCTGAATACTCATTGGAAGGACTGATGCTCCATTGTTCTTGTCACCTGCTGCAAAGAGCCAATTCATTGGAAAAGACCTTGATGCTGTGAAAGACTGAGGGCAGAAGTGGTCAACAGAGGGTGGGATGGATGGTTAGACAGCACCACCAACTTAATGGACATGAGTTTGAGCAAATTTTGGGAGATAATGGACAGGGAAGCCTGGTGTGCTGCAGTCCATGGAGTGCAGAGTTGGACACGACTTAGCGACTTAACAACCACCAGGAATTACAGTTGGTCAAAAACCAAACTGCTATTAAAGAAAATTAATCATTCACTTTGAATGAATCAGACACTAAGACAGCTGCGACAGCTGAGGCTGACACCTCCATGTCCTGACGCAAAGCACTGCATGATGCACGGTCAAGCAGACGTTTGGAGAGCAGTGCGATGGGGAAGAGCATCCTTCCCGTGTGTCACAGAAGCACATGTGAAAGGTTTCAAGAGCTGCGGCAATGGTTCTGCCAGTGGCTATGGATACTGAGAACATACTAGTTCATTTCTACCATCTAAATGTTACAGACCACCACCACCATATCGTATTTTAATAGGGATACTCTGCAAAAATTTCATTCCTTTGTATCTGTCCCACTGTTTGGGTCATATTTTGTGTTAGAAACAATGTTTAGCCCCTCTATTTTCAACAAAAAGCTTTTACCATATCACATCAGTTTGTTCTTTCTGGGGGATGTTATTATAGTGCAACTAACTCCAAAATAAGTCAATGTAACATTTATTCCCATTTCATCAACCTTATGAGTAGAACTAAAAGGTACTGAACTAAAATATGCATAATTATCAGGCTTTTGTACAAGCTTTCAAATGTATATATTTGTAAGTACACACATAAATATAATTAAATATGCTTCTTTATTGAATGTGCAGAAGAAATTTTCATTGGCTGTTTTCATTATTTTACCATTTGATACACAACTGTGTACCTCATTTCCAGAACACTAAGTAATTGTACATGTCTAGAGTGCAGAGTCAAAGATGAGAGAGAATTTTATCACTGATACACAACTGTGTACCTCATTTCCAGAACACTAAGTAATTGTAAATGTCTAGAGTGCAGAGTCAAAGATGAGAGAGAATTTTATTGTTGCTAGTAGCTCAAAACAAGTACTTTGGCCTGATAGGTGGTATTAAGAAGGTATTTTTCAACTTTAATTTCAGAACAGTATAGTAACTGTTTCCATGGTTTTCTGGAACATAATCACTACATAAATTTAGGATCTGACTGGGTCAGATTGATGAGTAAGGCTTTTGTAATAAGGGCAATTTATCTGCAGAAAAGGACACAAATGTGTACTGCTGTTGCTTTTACCCTGAATGTATTGTCATAAATATAGTGTAGACTGTACCTGCCACATAACCGGACAATTTCTCATAATCATTTTTATTTATTTTCCAGCTTGCGTTCATTCTATTGTCTATTTTTTATTGACCTGAGAGTTTATTCATTGGAATTAAATAGGCAATGTCAGAAAGATTTTATGACACATATTTTAAGAACATACAAACTGATTCTACGAAACATTCATCTAGTTTTTAATTCTTTTTTAAAAAGACCTAGTGTTTAACAACATACTTATTTTCCCTTCGGTTTCCCTGGTAGCACAGATGGAAAAAGAATCGTATGTCAACAATGGGGTCATTAAACCAGCTAATCATATCGTCTTAAAATGTTTAAATTCATAGTATTGAAAGCAAATGCCAATTATTGCTAAAATAGAATATATATGTTACATTATGTCCAAGATTTTCTCCCTCCCCAAGTCCTTAAGAAAACTTGTTCTTAGAAACACTAAGATTTTTGGCATATGGGGATTTTAAATAAAATTTCTTTTAAATACCATTTCCATTTCTTTTTTAATCAAATAGTTTTAAATTATAGATTGGAACACAAGATTCTACTCAATATTTACTGAAGTCTTTATTGAATTTGTTACATCGCTTCTGTGTTGTTTTTGGCTTTCTGGCTGTGGCTCCCTGAACAGGGACTGAGCCGACATCCCCAGCACTGGGAGGCTGTCTGAAGAGGGACTGAGCCCACACCTGCAGCACTAGGAGGCTAAGTCTGAAGAGGGATGAGCCCACACCTGCAGCACTGGGAGGCTAAGTCTGAAGAGGGATGAGCCCATCCCCCCCATCCCCCCACCCCGCACTGTGAGGCTAAGTCTTCACGACTGCATTTCCAGGGAAGTCCCTCTACTCTTTTCCTATGTCTTGAAATTTTAATGTACTTGAGTTTCACCAACTCTAAACAAGCAAAGAAGAAGTAGCACAAGAACAGGCAGGGGTGGAGGGTGGGGAGTAACAAGTCACAATGGGTGGGAAGAGGGGAAGGGAAGGAGGGAAGAGCAAGCATCCTGCAGTCTTCAATGGCTACAAAGCTGAGACCCCTGTACACAGGCTCTGCCAGGGCATCCAACTGGTATGACAACTAGGGCCTACTTATCACTCAGTTACACAGCAGGGATGGGGACATTTTAGAACTTAACTTTATGACTTGACCATAAGGCTTCTCAGAAATGTATTTTGCAAAGTTCTGTACTGCACCTCCTATTCTAGGTCTACACTAGAGCCTCAACTCAGTTCTTTCAGTCTTTATTTCTAACATGAGGACAAGTCATTCAATTACCAAGGACTTCACTATCTTTTCCATTAAAGAAAGGAAGAGGATAAAGACAGTTACTCATCTAATAAAATAAATGTATCAGCTTAGGCTATAATTTTAATTTCATTTTATCATTATAACTGTAGACATGCAAAAGGCTTCCCTGGTGGCTCAGATGGTAAAGAAGCTGCCTGCAATGCAGGAGATCAGGGTTCAATCCCTGGGTCAGGAAAATCCGATGGAGAAGGAAATGGCAAGCCACTCCAGTATTCTTGTCTGGAAAATCCCATCGACAGAGGAGCCTGGTGAGCTACTGCCCATGTGTTGCAGAGTGAGACAAGGCTGAGCAACCAATACACACAGACATGCAAAAGCATTATCTGTATGCAATCATGTGAATGACAATCTACTTCATTGTAGAAAAAGGCTTGTATAAAGAATAGCCTATTTCAGATGACAAATGGTGTGTGAAGAATATTCTAAGTGTTTACACTGGCAAATAATTTAAGGATCTAGGACCATATGATTTTAAAAGCAGGACTCTAAGATTTAAAGATGATGAAAATTGTAATATTTTTTTCAAACTTGGGTTCCTCCTCTTTAAACTCCAAACATTTGTACAGCTATATATATATATATATATATATATATGTAACTGATTACCGAGTGAGATGTCATGGAACAATTCAAGCAGCCAGTTTTATTTCTCTCTTCTTCCCTAACTCCCTCCACAGCCTCACTACCACCCTAAACAGAACTCCCTTCAGTCCCAGAGGGAAGGGCCTAGAAGTTGCAATAGACATGTACCCTGAAATCCATGCAGATTAAGAATAAATCATGAAATTCATCACCTGGGGTTAAAAGTGGTTTCCTAGATCTTATCTCAGATCTACTGAACTTGAATCTTGGGATAAAACCCAAGAATGTGCACTTTTAATAAGTCATTTAAAGCTTGGGTCATTTCTGAAGTTTCAAAGGCCTTGAAAGTAAGTGTAGGGAGGAAGGCAAGCTGGACCTAAGTGCTAAAGGCAGCAGCTTAATTGAAAGCAGAAATCAAGTGGTATCACTCAGCTCTAAGTTTCTCCAGCTATTAAATAGATACTGCCAATATCTAGAGTCTACTTTTGAATAGAGATCTAAAGATTTTTTACATGCCTTGATGATTATAACAGCTCACTAACTTGTAACTAGATGGCAATATCTCACTCTTTCCATTTGGGGTTTCCTTAGTGCTTTCAGGTATAGCCTCACGTAACTCTTAAAATATTTCATCAACCAAAAGAAGACTGGGTTTTACTATGCTGTGCTGTAAGACCGTGCCGTGATCTATGATGGCAACTCCTAAACAGAAGCTACAATAACATTTTAGAAAAGAAACATGAAATACAACACATGTTTAAGCCAGTGTTATCGCCAAAGCAAGAACCTCTCATCTCATGACCCAAGAACCCTGAAGAGTCTCCTCAGCCCTTGGGGGTGGTGGGGCAAGGGGAGGGAGGGGGTAGAAAATGGGGACCTGCAACTAGAATCCACATGCTTGTGATAAATTACCAGATTACCCCAACCAGCAAACAAGTATTATTTTCTAAGACTGCCAAGGAATGAAAGATTGGAAAACATCAATTTAATATAAAGTGCAGGTCTGAAGATCAGAATTCAGTTTATCTTCTTGCTGTCTCACTGGCAACCTTAGTGACTTCTTTGGAGTCCTTAGGCTGCTCCAAGGTTATTAAATTAGGACTACTCTAGGCTACTTCTAGGAGAAGGCAACGGCACCCCATTCCAGTACTCTTGCCTGGAAAATCCCATGGACTGAGGAGCCTGGTAGGCTGCGGTCCATGGGGTCGCTAAGAGCTAGACACAACTGAGTGACTTCACTTTCACTTTTCACTTTCATGCATTGGAGAAGGCAATGGCAACCCACTCCAGTGTTCTTGCCTGGAGAATCCCAGGGATGGGGGAGCCTGGTGGGCTGCCATCTATGGGGTCGCACAGAGTCGGACACGACTGAAGTGACTTAGCAGCAGCAGCAGCAGACTACTTCTAAAGCCTCTTCTATCTCTAAAATTCTAAGATTTCCTTACACTTATGTTTCATGAGTACATAATCATGTAAAATACCATTCACTGGTTATTTAATTAAAAGTCTACATTCAGTCTGTCATTTAATAAATTTTTTTTTATTAAGCATTTAATCTGTGCAAGGCATCCAAGAATCTGGGAAATCGATATGGACACACAAGTCTGCTTGCTGTTGGTAAATGCACATTACTGTGAATGAATAATGCATTCTACTGTTAACACTCTGTGTCTCTTTAAGCAGTTAAACAGTAAGGTTTACTGGATCATGGATGAATAATGGAAATCTGCACAGATAATGGAAAGCCTATCAATGCAAAATAAATAAATATTAATTTTAATTATACACATGACTTCTGCCAAGACATAACGCTCTTCTTCTCTGTACCTTTCACTTGCTTTAAAAGAAAAACAGAAAGATTATCAGCATTTGTTTCAATGATCTGTTGTTGTATAACAAAACACCATAAAATGTAGCACTCAGAAAAAAAAAGAAAAACAAAGTACATTTTATTTGTAAACTGCATTTACAACCAAAATCAATTTTTAAAATACATTTATAAAAATAGTTTATTTTAAAGGCTCTCAATAGGACTTAACATTTTATTTTCAGATATAGCAAGAAGATAATCAGTATGGTCAATATATTTTAATCCATGATGAAAGGTGCCCCAGATTATTAGATTGAGGCATACTATTTAATTAGGCAAGGTTCAAAGCATTAATTAAATATTACATAATTGGATTCCCATATGCATGTCAAACCCTGGAGGAGGGAAGGGATACTGTGGCATCATGGGGCTATCTTGTCTCTGTGGCGCAAATCCTGAAGTGTCCTGAGGGACCATGTGTTCTGCGTTATAAAACTGTGGAGGTGGGGGCCGGCCAGGGCAAGATCGAGGATATCTACCCTGAGAAAATCCTCTTGTGAATTCTCTGTTATGATATCCTTTGGAATGCTCTGAAGCAGAGCTATGAACATTCCAATTGTGATGTACTTCTGCAAAATCTTCACCTTTGAAGGAAAGAGCATAAAGACAAAATCAAAATTAACTTTCATACATCAAAAAACAGTGTTTAAAATTTCAAGAATGCCTTATTTAACTTCCAGTATTTCTAACTGGAAGTTATAATTTTGTATACATACAAATGATATAGTTATAATGATATATTGTATCATTGTAACAATGATATATTGTATCATTGTAACAAATGATACCTAGTTATAATTTTGTAAGGCATAAAATGATCAACTTTAAATGAATCCTAAAGGTCAGAGGATCAGGAGAGGGGAAGTTTATTAAGACAAAACTTTGAGACAATAACCACTTGATTTCAGCCAAACAAGACAAAGAAAACTGGACATCACTTCCACTCACACGCTCAAAGGTGGTCAAATAGGCTGAGCAGGGAGCCAGTCAGCATGTTCCCTCATTGCAATGCAGATCACATAGGGAACACAGACTTTTGTCTCCACTGGCAATAACCCCCTAAAAGCCCTCCTCCACTTCCTGCACTTGGGGCAGAGTCAGAGAAAACCGAGGAGAGTCAGGACTTTCATCACTGCCCAGCATAACAAGGCTAGCCCCAGTAGTCAGGAGCAGTAATGAGGCACTCTTACATTCAGCAGACACAGGAGGCAGCCTGCCTGTGCCCGGCAGTAATCAGACACCCCCAGCCTCAGATGTCAACTGAAGCTAAAAAGAAAAATTTAACTCTTATCCTCAACTGGATGTAAATAGTAATAATGCAACTTCTTTCCTTTTCTCAAAAGAACAAAATAATGTATCATGCTGGTCCAAAAGTGACTGTGGTTTTGCACTGTTGAACTTTTGCCATTTCACATTGGAATGTATTCTTAAATAAATGTGGTTATGTTATACATCATTTTAATGCATATTTCTCACTTTATGTTTTTTTCCTAATGACTTATTATTTGCTGTTTATTTTATATTTATTTTAGACTGGAGAAATGATGTTAGGCAAAAAAGCAAATACAAGCAATTTTATTATTCGAGATCAAAATGGATCATAAAGCAGTGGAGACAACTTGCAACATCAGCAATGCCCTTGGCCCAGCAACTACTAATGGACAGTGCAGTGGTGGTTCAAGGAGTTTTGCAAAGGAGCCTTGAAGATGAGGAGTGCAGTGGCTGGCTATGCCAATGATCACTGCCAATGATTGAGGACATCAAAGCTGATTCTCTTAACAACTGTATAAGCTGCCAAAGAACTCAGTATCAACCATTCTATGGTCATTTGCCATTTGAAGCAAATTGGAAAGATGAAAAAGCTCAGGAAGGCAGAAGACAACAGAGAAATAAAAACTAGAAAGAATACAGAAACGGGCAGATTTAAGCCCAAACATATCAATAATTACATTAAATATAAATGGTCTAAATATAAAAATCAAAACAGTAGTTAGCAGAGTGGATTAAAAAACATAACTATAGCCTGTAAAAAGCTTATTTCAAATGATAGTCATGTTGAATGTAAGAGAATGAAACAAGCTACAATATGCAACATAACTAATTAATTATATTATCAGATAAAATAGGCTTCAGAATAGGGACATTTTATGATAAAGGGGTGACCTACCAAGAAGATTTAGCCATCTTAAATGTGTATGCACCAACCACATGCTCTCTCTCAACAACTGACAAGATAACTAGATGGAAAATCATTAAGGATAGAGAAAATACTAAATAGTACTCTTCTAAATAATCCATTGGTCAAAGAGACTGTGTCAAGAGGAATAAAAACAAAGAAATATTAAGCTAAATCACAATAAATAAAATATGAGTATCTGTGGAACAGATTCAAGGAGTAAAGTCTTTAATAACATAAACTCCCACCTTAAGAACCTATAAAAACCAAAACAAACTCAAAGCAAGCAGTAGAAAGTTAATGATAGAGTTAAAAGAATGCAAATGCTAATAGAAAAATAATAAATAAAAATCAATAACAAAGAATTGGCTCTGTGAAAGATCAATATAATTTGCAATCTTCTAAGCAAAACTGAAAAAATACAAGACACAAATGATCAATATCAAAGACATCAAAATGAAGAAAATCTTGCAAACCAACTCTACATACATAATTTGACAAATTAGATGAAATGGACCAACTCCTTGAAAAATACAAGCTACTATAACCTATCCAAGTTACAGCCAGTACAGATACGAAAGAGAGCTAAAAAAGCATACATACTGGGAGGGGAAAGACAAGCACTATTTCCATTTGCCACTGCCATAGCTGTCTATATTGAAATCTCAGGAGAAGAACTCCTAGAACTAGTGAGTTCAGCAAAGTCATAAGACACAAGCTAAACATACAAACAATAATTATTTTTGTATTCTAGAACACATGAACACAAATTAAAAATGCAGTATCAGTTACAATGATTTCCCCCAAACTGAAATACTCAGGTGTGTATCTAACAAAAAGATGTACAGAACTTGCATTCTGAAAACTACATAATGCTGGTGAAAGAAATTTTTTAAAAAATCTAAATTAATGTATATATATATACCACGTTTGTAGAATGGAAGCCTCAATCCAATTAAGATGTCAATTCTCTCCAAACCAATACACAAGTTCAATCCAATTTCTATCAAAATCCAAGCAAGACTTTCTGTCAATATAGGGAAGTTTATTTCAAAATTCATATGGAAAGACAAAGGAATTAAAATGGCTAAAAATAATTATGAAAACTTTTAGGAAATAAAAAAGAGAAAATCTTTGGAATCTAACTCTAGGAAAGGAATTCTCAGGCTCCATCAAAGAAAAGCAGATAAATTAGGCTTCATCAAAACAAAAAATCTCATTCAGCAAAGCTCTTTTATAAGGATGAAATCTCAAGCTAAAGAAATACTAGCAATTAAATACAAACTCTCATAACTCAAGAGTAAAGCAGAAATACAATTAGAAAATGGGCACAGTATGAACAAAAAAGCATTGAAGGGATATAGACAGCAAATGAACACATGGAAAGATGGTCAGTATCACTAGCCATTAGGAAAATGCAAGTTAAAATCAAAACTATGTATCACTACATACTTATTAGAATAGCTAAAATAAAAAATGATGACAATGACAAATGCTGGTGAGAATGCAGACAAACTGGGCCACTCATACACTAGTGACAAGAATGTAAAGTGGTAAAGCCACACGACAAACAATATGACAGACTCTCAAGAGACTAAACATGTAACTACAGTGGGCCCTTAAATAACACAGGTTTGAACTATACAGGTCCACCTTTAAGCAGATTTTTCTCAATAAAAACATACTATACAATCCATGGTTGGCTGAATCCACGGATATATAGCCATGGATACAGAGGGCCAACTGTTAAGTCATACAGATTTTTAACTGCATGGAAGGGAGGGGGATGTCAGTACCCCTAACCCCAAAGTTGTTCACTTGTCAACTGTATTATATAACCCAACTGTACTCTTGGACATTTATCCCAGAGAAACGTGAAAACTTGAGTTCACATAAAAATCTGTGCACAAATGTATAAAGCAGCTTTATTCATAATACCCAAAACTATAAACAACACAAATGCCCTTAAATGGATGAATGGTTAAAGCACCTGCAGTATATTCATACCACAGACCACCACCCTGGAATGAAAACAAACAAACAATACATACAACAATCTAGATAATCTCCAGAAAAATATGCTCAGTAACAAAACCCAACTGATAATTTATATAAATCATTCTTGACAGGACAAAATGTTATCACAGAAATGGCACACAGATGAGTGGCTGTCGGGAGTTGAGGAAGAGGAAGAAGAAAGGAAGTGGATGCAGATACAAAAAGGCAACATGAGGACCTTCTTCTGTGACTGCACTGGTGTCAATAGCTAATAAAACACCTTGATTTTAGCTTAAGCACCATATCATTTAATTCTAAAAATGGAAGCAAACAGGTTTCTTGAAGAAAAAAAAAAAAAAAAGACCGATAAGCACAAATGATTCCTCCACCTTTTACCCCAAAGGGCCATTTTTACACCCACAAGCTTGAAAACCACCCGAGTGTCCCTTGTACCTCTCCTAACCACACCCCAAGCGGTGTGATGCCTCCAATGCTGGCAGATGCCAGAAAGTACGAGAAAACCCCTAGATATTTCCCTCAGTTTTATTACTGAGGAATTTATATAGATGTAAATGAAGATTAAAAACTACTATATACTACACTGAGGAGTGTCAAAGAATGCTCAAACTACCACAGAACTGCACTCATCTCACCCGCCAGCAAAGTAATGCTCAAAATTCTCCAAGCCAGGCTTCAATAGTATGTGAACTGTGAACCTCCAGATGTTAAAGCTGGTTTTAGAAAAGGCAGAGGAAACAGTTCAAATTGCCAACATCAGTGGAACATGGAAAAAGCAAGAGTTACAGAAAAACATCTACTTCTGCTTTATTGACTATGCCAAAGCCTTTGACTGTGTGAATCACAATAAACTGTGGAATATTCTTAAAGAGGTGGGAATACCAGACCACCTGACCTGTCAAGAAGCAACAGTTGGAACTGGACATGGAACAGACTGATTCCAAACAGGAAAAGGAGTACATCAAGGCTGTATATTGTCACCCTGCTCATTTAACTTATATGCAGAGTATATCATGAAAAATGCTGGACTGGATGAAGCACAAGCTGGAATCAAAACTGCTGGGAGAAATATCAATAACCTCAAATATGCAGATGACACTACCCTTATGGCAGAAAGAAAAGAACTAAAGAGCTTCTTAATGAAAGTGAAAGAGGAGAGTGAAAAAGTTGGCTTAAAGCTCAACATTCAGGAAACTAAGATCATGGTATCTGGTCCCATCACTTCACGGCAAATAGATGGGGAAACAGGAAACAGTGACACTTTATTTTTTTGGGCTCCAAAATCACTGCAGATGGTGACTACAGCCATGAAATTCAAAGACACTTGCTCCTTAGAAGCTATGATCAACCTAGATAGCATATTAAAAAGCAGACACATTCCTTTGCCAACAAAGGTCCGTCTAGTCAAGGCTATGGTTTTTCCAGTAGTCGTGTATGGATGTGAGAGTTGGACTATAAAGAAAGCTGAGCACCAAAGAATGGATGCTTTTGAGCTGTGGTGTTGGAGAAGACTCTTGAGAGTCCCTTGGACTGCAAGGAGATCCAACCAGTCCACCCTAAAGGAACTCAGTCCTGAATATTCATTGGAAGGACTGATGCTGAAGCTGAAACTCCAACACTTTTGCCACCTGATGTGAAAAACTAACTCTTCACCTGATGTGAAAAAAGACCCTGAGGCTGAGAAAGACTGAAGGCAGGAGGAAAAGGGGACGAAAGAAGATGAGATGGTTGGATGGCATCACTGACTCAATTGTCAAGAGTTTGAGTAAACTCTGGGAGTTGGTGATGGACAGGGAAGCCTGGCGTGCTGCAGTCCATGGAGTTGCAAAGAGTCAGACACGACTGAGTGACTGAACTGAACTGAACGTTGAGGAGGGCATGGCAACTCACTCTAGTATTATTTCCTGGAAAATCCTATGGACAGAGGAGCCTAACAGGTTCCAGTACCTGTGGTTGCAAAAATCGGACACAACAGAAGAGACTTAACATGCATGCACATTTTCTACATTTAACTCACCAGGTTCATTAAATTCAGATCTGAATTTTTTCCGACCTTGAATCTGAGATTTTTTCTTCTGTTTGGCTTCTTTTTCTTTTTCATCATCACTGAAATCCAAGGCCTTACACAAAAAAATAGACAGATTTATGTCATATGCATTTACCAATTCAATAGTACATTATCAGAGGTAAAGAGAATAAGGCACTTTAAGTGACCCTGAAAGTTAATACATGTACACATGACACAAATCAGAAGGCATAACCCCGTGGCAATGTGGATGCTAAAACAGGACTGCTTCTGACTAATAATCCTTTAAGTGGGCATTCCTTGACTCACACAGCTTCAGCAAAATCACAAATTAACACAGATCATGAACCTTTAGCACTGCTTTAGAACATCTACAACGATCAAAGTTAAATCTATAAATATCAAGAATTTACAGAACTGAGAAACTTCATTAGAACTTCTGAGTGCATTGAAAAACTCTTATAATTGTATTTTTCTTCTATAAAGTAAAAATACAAAAGTATAAATTCATGCTATTTTTAAGAATGTATATACTCATTGATCTAATTTTCATGTTTTAGTAAAGACCATATATATCAAGCTACTTTGAAATGTAAAATATTATTGCTGACAAGAAAAAGAACACTCTTTTTAGGAAGGTGAGTATATTGTAAAAAATGGAGAAGTAGGTACACTGTAATTGTTTCCTACCTTCAAAAGAAAAGCAGCTTATTAAAAGTACCATCAATAAATGTCTTCACATCCCATGTGGTGAATTTACTAAACTAAAAAAAAATTATTTTAAATGATAATTTTGCCTTTACCAGGTACCAACAAAATTGATAACAACAGGACACTATAAGGAAAATGAAAATCTGATAATAATTAAAATATGAGTGAAAATATTTTTTTCTGAAATGACCACAAACTAATTGTGAGGTATAAAAGGCATCTGAGGGAGCGGAGAGCACGCAGGCTGACAGAAAGCAGTGTGACTAGCGAGCAGTTTCGAGGACATCCTTCAGGTCAAGAATGAGGGATGTATGAGACTGAGTCCTGTCTTCCTTTCTCAAATACTGTGTGAAAAGACACTTACCTCTGGTGGTGGTTCTTGATCATTCTTCCATGATGCATCTGATCCCCTATCCCTAGGGGAACAAACAAAGTTCAAAGGATCAAAGTACTTAGTAAGATTCTGTTAAGTGCTTATAACCTAATAGCATAGAAAATAAAAAAGCAAAAGACCTAAGCACAATCTTAATTCGCAATATATAAGACAATAAGAGAAAAGAATAAAGGCTCATTTCTGTGTTCTTTATTTAAGACGATGTGGGAAGAACACACCAATATATTAGGAGTAGAGATCAGAATGAGAAGCCGACCCCACGCTGTGCGGGGCAAAGTGGTTCTGCAGTTCTTCAGCAGCTCCAGGTGCTCTGATTCTCACTGATACTGTCATAATACCTGAGCTCAGCTCATAAACCTCCTTCAGTAAATACCTATCCAAGACCACAGTCAGTCATTGCAGGTGCCAAGGACACAAAAAGGGAATACGAGGCATTTCCTTGTGTAAGACTTTACAGGTTCAACAACAGAGATCACAACATGAAATGCTTCTTCCTTGATTCACCTGAGAATTATCAATGATCCTCCATGAGTAAGCAAGGCTTGCTCCAAGAGTGACTCTCAGAGCAGAGGATGAGACAAAGGCATCTAGAGTTTGAGGAGGAGGAGCTGTGAAGATGCTATAGGACACTAAGTCTTTTTGTGGAAAAGTTTTATACTCTATGACCAACAAAAGCATGGAGATCTATTATGACTATAATTTCTGACTGCTCATTTTTAATTGTATCTGTTTGATCCTGACTGCACAGTTTGACAATATTTGTTATTCAACTACATTAAAATATTACAAAGTATTAGCAGTAGATGTTGTCCTCATTACTTGACACCAAATCTCAAAAATAAACTCCCAGGAATTAATTAATGCATTAATCTATTAAAATCAATTTACAGATGTCTGTGGGCTCGCACAACATGAAATCTTTTTTTCTGAGTCTGCTCTACTGTTTTAATTTGGAATTCTGTTAAACGTAAAGCATTATCAATGACTTTTCCCATTTTTAGTTATTATCTTCTACTCATGCATTTATCATAGCTCCAGGGTTCCTTTTAGCATGGATGCCATCTCAACAGCCTAGACTGACCTTAGAATGAAATCGTCTAAAGACAGAAATGGGAAAAGTTCCCTAACGGGGGCATTACCACAGAAAATCAAAAACTATTACACAAAAGAACAAGCAACATTTCCAACAGCACCGTTAACAAGAGCAAGTTCATGGGAAGCTAAGATTAAAATAACTCAACTAAAAGCAGGTAAGCTGGAGAGAAGTTCAACTTCTCCATCTCAAAGGCAAAGGAGTTCCCTTGATCAACAGAAAAAATGCAGTCTAGAACAGAACAGGCTTCATCAGGTGGGGCTTCTGCAGAGCGGGCTCAATTTCCTGATTCTTTAGTTTCTTATTCTTTCTTTGCAAAAAAGACAAAAATTCTTGTTCTTGCAAATCAGAACAAAGACAGCTTCTACATCTATCTAAAAACATCTTCATAAAAATCTCTTCAACCTATCTATTTTAAGCTAAAATATTTTACCTGTTAAAAGCTAATATATGGAATATCCAAAGCAACAACTTAATATTCAAACAGAACGAAATGCTAAATATTTAAGGCATGATTTTAAAGAATACTAAAATTTTTATAACTTTGCTATATTTAACTAACCTCTCACGTGTTATTTAGAAAAATTAACCTTACACAGCCTGAAGAACAACTTAAGTTCCTGCAGGTACTTCTGTGTTTTCTTAAAGATGAGCTTAACAAATTATCAGGAACAAAATGTTCATCTCATTTCAGAGATTTCCAAATGCCTCACCTGTATTTCAAGTTTCCAACTGAAAGACAGCTAGATTTCAAAGGGACTTTTGTGTCAAACTGAGTACAAAATCTTTTCAGATTTAAGATCTCTTCCCCAATCCTTTGCAGTATTTTCCTCCACTCCTAACTGGGCAACATTTTATTGGTTCATATTTACTACATCTTTCCAAAGCATTCAATTTACATTTACAGAAAGTCATTCTACTTTAATTCATATGCCATTGGTCTGTGCAAAAATTAATTATGTAATTATAATAACAAGTCTGATATACATAGCTCTACAGCTAACACCTGACGGCAAAATTTATACCTGACAAATATACAGTTCGTCAGTGGAAACAAGAAATATCACCAGATACACACCACAGGATATCATACAGCACATTTACAGATAGAATAGAGACCACTGGTTTGCTGGTTAAGTCAACTCTGTTAATTACAGCTTGATACACAACACATAAATACGTTCTTATATAAATGTACAATTTATAAGCAACCTAAAATTTACTCATTTTCTTTTTTCAAGAATTATAAAGTTGCATTAAATGGTGAAGCTTATGAATGCAATCCAAAGAAATCTTTCTTTAAAATGGTAAAGTTGCAGCACATATATGCAGGAAAGTATATAATGGAAAAGATAATGAGTTAAAATTCAGAAAATGTATATGGCCCAAATGTGCTCTTACCAGTTGCTCATGCCATTTTGGGCAAAAAATACAAATGATCTCTACCTTATAAAACCTGATAACAACATTAGCTTTCAGAGATGTTACTAGGAAGACAAATGAGCTCTTTGGAAGACAGATACCATCTTAACTGCAAGAAACTACATCACTACTCCTAAAACACAAACGCTAGATAAGCAAAGAAGTAACATGCCAATAAAGTACTTACTGTTTAAGCTTCTCTGTGAATATATACTGGGTGAAGTCTTTCATTGATGGAGCAAAATACATAGTGTCTTTTATCTTAATACCTTTATTTTCAATATGCTCTGAAGAATTAAACCGTAATACATAAAATGGATGTGCAACAGGTCCAAATATCTCAAATATCTATAAAAGAGAAGAAACAAAGTTCTCCTTTGATAGTAAAATAAGGACTTCAAAAGTTAGTACTATTGGGACTTCCCTGGCAGGCCAGTGGTTAAGCCTTCACCTTCCAATGCAGAGGGTGCAAGGTGAATCCCTGCTTGGGAAGTTAAGATCCCACAAGCCTCTTGACCAAAACATAAAACAGAAGCCAATACTGTGTGTGTGTGATTTTTCAGATTCCAGTCATCTGTCAGTGGACAGTGGCTTCCACCTCTTGGCCACTATAAATAGTGCTGCTATGAACTCTGGCGTACATGTACCTTTGCAAATTATAGTTTTCTCTGGATATACACCCAGAAATAAGACTGCCGGATCATACACTAACTCTACAGATTTTTAAGGAACCTCCATACCACTGTCCATAGTGGCTGCACCAATTTACATTTCCACCAACAGCGCAAGAGAGATCCGTTTACTCCACACCCTCTCCACCTTTAATTATCTACAGACTTTCTAGTGATAGCCACTCTGACTGGTATGAGGTAATACCTCATTATAGTTTTTTTTTAAATTTATTTATTTATTTAAATTGGAGGCTAATTACTTTACAATACTGTGGTGGTTTCTGCCATACAGTCACATGAATCAGCCATGGGTGTACATGTGTTCCCCATCCTGAATCCCCCTCCCACCTGCCTCTCCATCCCATTCCTCAGGGTCATCCCAGTGCACCAGCCCCGAGCACCCTGTCTCATGCATCGAACCTGGACTGGCGATCTGTTTCACATATGACAATATACATGTTTCAAGGCTATTCTTCAAATCATCCCACTCTTGACTTCTCCCAGAGTCCAAAAGTCTGTTCTTTACATCTGTATCTCTTTGTTGTCTCGCATATAGGGTCATCATTACCATCTTTCTAAATTCCATATATATGCGTTATAATATACTATATTGGTGTTTTTCTTTCTGACTTACTTTGCTCTGTATAAGAGGTTCCAGTTTCATCCCTCATTAAAACTGATTCAAATGCATTCTTTTTGATAACTAAGTAATATTCCATTGTGTATATGTTGACCTGAGTTTCTCCAATAATTAGAGATATTGAGCATCTTTTCATGTGCTTATGAGCCATCTGTATGTCTTCTTTAGAAAAATGTCTATTTAGGTCGTCTGCTCAGTTTTGATTGGGTTGTTTGATATTGAACTATATGAGCTATTTGTGTATTTTGGAAATGAATCCCATTGGTAGCATAATTTGCAAATATTTTCTCCCAGTCTATAGGTTTTCTGTTTTGTCTATGATTTCCTTTAATGTGTAAAAGCTTTTAAGTTTAATCAGGTCCCTTTTGCTTATTTTTGTCTTTCCTTCCATTACTCTAGGAGACAGAGCTAAAACAAACACTGCTGTGATTTATGTCAAAGAGGGTTCTGCCCATATTTTCCTTTAAAAGTTTGATCATATCCTGTCTTGTATTTAGGTCTTCAGTCCATTCTGACTTTACTTTTGCAACATGGTGTTATGGAATGTTCTAATTTCAATCTTTACATATAGCTGTCCAGATTTCCCACTTACTAAAGAGACTGTCTTTTCTTCATTGCATATTCTTGCCTCTTTCATTGTAAACTAATCGACCATAAGTGCACGAGCTTATTTTCCGGCTTTCTATCCTGTTCCACTGATCTATTACTCCTTTTTAAAGCCTAACGTTTCTTTTAGTTTTTTTCATGTTAAATATATTTTTCATAATATATAATTTCTGTGGCTATTTAACACTCCTTTATAGATCAAGCAGAATTTAACATATCTTATATTGTAGAATACTGACACAAGCTCCCAATTTGTTCAGAAATGATGCCATAATGAACACCTTTATCTGTAAATCTCTGTACTTCAGAATTCCTGAAAACTAGTTTGTAAGAGATGGAACCATCAAAGCCAAGAGTATGATTACTACTAAAACTCTTGATGCAAATTACTAAATAATATTCCAAATAGCAATTCAAATCAACTCCACTGAAAGTACCTATTTTAGTACATCCTCAGTTGCTGACTGAATGAAAAGTCCTCATTTGTTAAAAAGTAAAACAAAAAAACAAAACAACAAATGCTTGAACAAATGCTCAAAATTAAATGCAGAGAAAATGATCAAGAAATCCAACTTATAGGTGGCATAAGTTGGTAATGTTTTAAAAATTCCCTAATATAAGAATTCAACATTAAAAATAGAATTCATTCATTAATTATCAATAGGAACTAACCTTTACTAGGATTAAGGTGCAAAAGGCAGAATTTCAAATCTGAACTTGCCCTCCTTTAAATCAGTGGGAAACAAGGAAGGAGATGGGAGGGGGGCAAAAAAATCAGACCACCTGTGTTATAAACTGCATTTTGCTTTTAGCTATTGTGATTTCTGAATAAATGAGGGTAATTCTATTTCCTTAGAGTTTCAGTGAATTTAAAAAGACACAGAGGATATTTGACACTGTAGCTGATTATTACTGTTACTGAAAAGGAGAGGGAAAAGGAAGGATGTCATAAATAAAAGGAATCATGGAAATAATCAGTTTTAATTCAGTCAGAAAAGCAGGAAGTGCGTTTCCCTAGTCTCTTCTCCCTGGTCTCCCCAAGAGGTACAGCAGCATCCCTGTGCTCAAGAGCTCCGTCCCCAGCCATCTCCACTCACCTCCACTCCTCTCTCTCAACAGCTTCCCAGGCTAAGCCCCGAGACTCTCTCTAGCCCCTTACAAAGGTACCAGCAGTGAACAGTTTATTCTGTATTTTAGTACTTCTTCCTCTGAACCAAAAGTACTGAGACCCATACTTGAAACAAAAGTATTAAGCCTAAGTCTTTGAAAGGGAGAAAAGTCAACACCACCCTTCAGGTATTAAAGCCTTTCTTCTCTTCACAAACTTTTTCAAAGATTGCCAAAAAGCATTAGCTCTGGACTCCAATTAATTCTGTCAATGACTGCTTTGCAATTCTAAGAGACTCATTTATTTTGGTACATTTAGTCTGTCAACCTAAAAAGTAGGCAGTGCAGGGTAACAACCCTCATAAAAGCCGGATCCCTTTCTAATCTGTGTCAGAATGGAACAGCAGGAAAAGGCTCAAAAAGGGAAAATTATGTGAGTTGTCCTAATAATATAATTCAAAATAAATGATTTTTTCTGATTAAACACAAATTAATTCTGCTTCTTAAAATAAAAAATATGTCAACTGTCACTTATCTAGGAAAAACTAAACCCCAAAAAGTTTTCTCCAGAGACAACATGTGGTTTCTCAATTGTCTGTTATCAACTCAATGCTTATTTACTTAGCCCATATAATCTACAAAGGACTCTAACTAAACACAGTGGAATATCCCAAGGTGAATAAAACTCTGTCCCTGCTGCCAGAAAGAGAATACTTGGTTGATATATATATTCTTCATCTTGGAAGATTTTATCCTCCGATGACCACTCAAAATTATGTATTTGTTGAGTAAAATGTAGACATGCAGCATGCAGGATTGTTCCTTGCATGTAAGGATGTTAAAAGGGACCTAATCTTATGATGGTACTAAAGTACATATTCACAATTCCCCAGAAAGTGCTTATAGTGACACTTTACTGGTATCACCGAAAACTTTTTCCATTTGAAAGATTCCACTCTCAGCTTCCACGTGAGGAAGTCAAAGTCTAAAAAGTTTCAATAGCCACTATACAAAGGGCCACACAAAGCAAAAAGGTTTATTAACTACTATGCATTGGAAAGCCTCCTGCACCCAATTGAGTATCTGGAAGAACTGTGTCTTATTCAAAACACAGACACACTGCCTGACAAAGAACCTGACAAACGTCAGGAAAAAAATTCTGTACAACAACAACAACAAATTAAACCAATTTACAGACAGACACAAATTACTGAAGAAAATCAGGAATGTACTAAAATTTGAGAGCTCTCGATTGCTCACATACTAAAACTAATAAACTTAAGATACCAAAGTCAGAAAATTCAATCAACAAAGAAACAGGGTAATTAGTAGAATGTGAGTTTTGTTTTACAAACCTTTCCTGCTGCCTGTCGATCAGTTTTAAAAATTACAGTCTCCTCATTAACTGGAGGTACATTAGTCATAGATTCAATTATTACTGAAAATGAAACAAAATAGATTATTTCAAGATTTAATCAGAAGATAATGCAGAATTCAAATCAGTATTTAGGCTTTAATTCCCACATAATTTAAAATGAAATTTAAGGTGGGAAAATATACCTTGGTAACTATTTCTCCTGGATAAACAAGTAGCATAAGGAAATATATTCTACATTATTTTCTTTAATATGAAAGCTACAATTCTGGGAAAAAAGATTAAAGTACAAAATCTCATGGAAAGTTGGAATTACCCATTAGTCAAAAGTCAACAAAGTCAAGCTGTGTACATTTTCTCAAGCAATTTTTATCCAAAAAATAATAATCACATTTAGTCACATAACTCCTGTTTTAGAAGAAATTAGTCATCTTTCTCACCCTAGAAATCCTTTTCTGCAAACTACTGATTACATACCGATATACGAAAAAGTTAAAGACTTCACAAAAACATTTTCCTCTGAACAGATGAAAAAAGAATGATAGAGCTCCCAGTAATGTGGCTCCTGGGTGCACTGGGACAACCTTGAGGGATGGGATGGAGGGAGGTGGCGGGGGGTTCAGGATGGGGGACACATGTACACTCATGGCTGATTCATGTCAATGCATGGCAAAAGCCACTACAATATTGTAATTAGTCTCCAATTAAAATAATAAATAAATAAAAAGACAAAAAGCATTATCACTCCAGTCTAGCACATTCTCCTGTTCTTCTAAGTACCACAAATGTCAAACTAACAATCTACAACAGCAAAACAAAAACAAACACACATATACATTCACACAGACACACAGGATTCTTAGAAAACTAAAGCAACAAACAAAAATACTCAGTCACATTACAAAGATAATGCCATCTCCACTTGGGAAATGAAGTATCAGTTCATTATTAAAATCCATTCAAGGAGTTTCAACTGTATCCAATTAATTTCAAGAGTTAGTACTTCTAAGTTGGAACATGCACTAAGGAATGAGCAACAAGTTTTGAATTGGATGCCTCTCGAATAAAGATGACAAAGATTGATAATAATACTGAATAATGACAGAATTTCCCAGGGCCAAATTACACGAAAATTAAAAACTACCTAATTCAAAACCCTCACATTTGATAGAAAGGTAAGAGTGCCTGAAGAACTATGGACGGAGGTTCTTGACATTGCACAGGACACAAAGATCAAAACCAACCCCCCTCCCCCCACCCCCACCG